TTGTTGGGACTAGAGTGTCCTTTCAACTGTGTGCCAGGTCATGTGACAGTAGGATGATGGTGGGAATTGGGCAGGCAAGGTTCCTGTCCTCAGGGATGTCATGTCCAAGGTGGCAAGAAATGACATAAATAAAGCATCCTCCAAACCATGAGTGATGTTGGTGAAAGAGCTACAAGAGAGAAGTATGGCTGTGACTGGGACATAGAAAGCACAGCTGCTGGCTTGGGGACCCTAGTGGGACTCTGTCTCTGCAAAAAAATCAAGAAAATAAATTAGCAGGGCAAGGTAGCGCATGCCTGTAGTCCCAGCTACTTGACCGGCTAAGGTGGGAGGACTGCTTGAGCCTGGGAGGTTGAGGCTACATTGAGCCATGATCGGGTCACTGCACTCCAGCCTGGGTGACAGAGTGAGAACCTGTCTCAAAAAAAACAAAAACAAAAACAAAAAAGCACAGCCTCTGGGTGTGGTGGTGTGGGCCTATATTCCCAGCTACTCAGCTACTCAGGAGGCTAAGGCAGAAAGGGTTCCATGCTGCATGAGCTATGATCTGGCCCTTGTACTCTAGCCTAGGCAACAAAGCAAGACACAGTCTCCAACAATAAAAATATAGCATGACTGCTGTAGGGATCAAGGAGGGAGAAAGTGACTGAAAATTACCTAACAGAGAAAATCAGTCCCCTTAATAGAGAAAACATTTCTACAAACAAAGACTATGACAGCTACACAAAAGGAAAAGCAGCATAAGAATATGTTCAGAATAAGCAATACAAATCAGTGTCTCTCAAATAAACAGAGATCCTTACCTCATTCATAGTAAGAGTAATGCACGTTGAATTCTCACTGTGATGTCAACCACTCATTTTTTCGTATCACAAAAAGCAAGGCAACCAGATATTACATATTTTCTTTCAGAAGTACACAGCACCACATGTGAAGTAGTACTCCAAAAAACAAAACAAAATAAAACCTAAAACCCAAATCTGATTATGCCTCTAAAATATAAATACAAGTTTACAGGGTCGACAGGGGACAGAAGAACAGTTAGAAGACTCCACTGGGAAGCAATCAGCAAAACCTAAATGGTGGGATCCTCTCCAGAACAAATAAAGTGGTTTCTTCAACATGCAACAAAATTTAGAAAGAACATAAAAGAGAGGTAGAAGGTAAATTTGGAGACTGAAAGAGATTCAAGAAAATAAAAATGACATATGATAATAAGTGTTGGTAAGGAAGCGGAAAACTTGGAACTTTCATACATTGCCGGTGGGAAGGTAAAATGGTGCAGCTGCTTTGGAAAACAGTCTGGCAGTTTTTCAAGGGATTAAACATAGAGTTGCCATATGACTCAGCAATTCCACTCCTAAGTATAAATCCAAGAGAATTCGCGGGACATGGAGGCTCACGCCTGTAATTCGAGCACTTTGGTAGATCAAGGTGGGCAGATCACCTGCGGTTAGGAGTTTGAAAGGAGCCTGGCTGATATGATGAAACTCTATCTCTACTGCAAATACAAAAATTAGCCATGTGTGGTGGCGTGTGCTTGTAATTCCAGCTACTTGGGAGGGTGAGGCATGAGGATCCCTTGAACCTAGGGGGCAGACATTGCAGTGAGCCTGGGCGACAGAGTGAGACTCTGTCTCAAAAAAAAAAAAAGAAAAAAAGAAATGCCTACCAATTTGCAAAGTAGGAACTTTATTTGAATCCTGATTTAAAAAAAAAACAAACTTGTATTAATACAAGTATCATTTATAAACATTAAAGAACATTTGACTACATATTTGATTAAATTGAGAACAGTATGTTATGGAAATACACACATACATTTATGTTCCTTTTGTTTTGGTAGGACATGATGAAAAATTTACAGATGAGATGATATCTGGGATTTGTTTCAAATAACGGTGCAAGGGGGAGGGGGCCATCCAGAAAACACCAGGTTGTATTCAACCTGAGAAAGCTGATTTAAAACAAAAACAAAAACAAGATCTTTGTCATTGCTGAAGGTGGACAACGGGTACGTTGGATTTGGTACATTACTCTTTCTACCTCAGACTTGGCTCATTCCTTGGTGCTGTGCAGCCCTCTAGCAGCCTTGACCCTCTTTGTGCCTCAGGAAGGTTCCCCTGCTGTAGTTATTCCCACCAGCTCCCACCTACCTGGCACCTTCCCTTTTGGAATCTCAGGTTCTGTTTCTGTAGGGTTTGGGAAATCTGAGCCCATTTCCATAATAAAAAGTCCAAACACAGGCCAGGCGCAGTGGCTGACGTCTGTAATCCCAGCACTTTGGGAGGCTGAGGTGGGTGGATCACTTGAGATTAGGAGTTCAAGACCAGCCTGGCCAACATGGTGAAACCCCATCTCTACCAAAAGATACAAAAATTTGCTGGGTATGGTGCCGTGTGCCTGTAGACTCAGCTATTTGGGAGGCTGAGGCATGAGAATCGCTTGAACCCACCAAGCAGAGGTTGCAGTAATTCGAGATGGCACCACTGCACTCAAGCCTGGGCAACAGAGTCAGACCCTGTCTCAAGAAAAAAAAAAAAAAGTCAAAAAACAAAACAGCCTTAGGGTGCCAATGCCACCCTACACCTGTCAGTTTAACATGGATCAACATGTTTGATGCCACCTGGTGTGGGTGAGGCCGGGGTCAGTAGACATTTACAGGCACCAGGCAGGACATTTTAACAATGTCTCCAAGTCAAAAGGCCCACTCCTCTCCCCAGTAACACGCTCCTGCACACAATTCCTTGCTGGAGGGGATGTCTATCCAGGTAATTCCCTGTGGCCACTGATGCCTGATGGTTGTTACAGCAAAGGCCATCACCTGCTGAAATGTCCCTGGTTAGAGACCTGTTACATCAACTTATGTAATAAAGAGATTCATTACTTGCTTCATCCTTGAGAAGCCCTTCCATTAATCAGTATGAAGAAGCTCTACCATGTAGGGGTGTGTGGAGGCCACCCTATGTGTTAGAAAGTGGAAAAGCCCTGCCCCAGAAAGTGGGTGAGTTTATGACTGTTTAGATGAAAATCAAGGACAAGTACACACATCTTTTCTTGTGTAAACTGCTGGGCACTGTGTGTACTGCAGTGTGAACAGGCAGTTTCGAATGTGAGCCATGGGGACTTTAATGGCCCCTGAGGAGAAGCTAAGACTGGTTGGGTAAAAAGAGTACGGCACACATCACCTATACACTCCTATGGCTTGTCAATTATTTTTTCCTGAATGTGGGTCCAACCCAAAATTGTGTGTGTGTATGTGTGTGTGTGTGTATGTGTATGTGTGTATATATTGCCAGACAAGGTCTCCATCTGTTGCCCAGGCTGGAGTGCAGTGGTGCGATTACAGCTCACTGCAGCCTCAGCCTCCTAGGCTTGAGATCCTCCCATCTCAGCCTCCTGAGTAGCTGGGAGTATACATGTGTGCCACCATGCCTGACTCTTTTTTTTTTTTTTTTTTTTTATAGAGACAAGTCTTGTTGCCCAAGCTGGTCTCTAACTCCTAGCCTTAAGTGATCCTCCCATCTCCATCTCTCAAAGTGCTGGGATAACAGGTGTGAAACACTGTGCCTGGCCCAAAATATTTTAAAAGGTAGCCATCTGTGAGGCCGGGCAAATCTTCATGCCTGGGCTCCTGGTGAACTCTAGAATGTGGTCAAGGGCAGGAATGAGAGGAAGCCCTGCAGGAGTGCATCATGGGGCGGGGGGAGTATGGACTCCACCTGGGCAGATTAAACTGGGAAAGGCTCAGGAGAGACAGTCAGATCATAGACTTAGGAGTGTTTCGGGTGAGAGGACCAAAGGCCGAAACACTCCCGGAGTTTCTGATAAGGGCCTGGAGAAGCCTGGCAGGCACACAGAGCCATCATCTTTGCCCCGGAAGCCAAGTTGTGTACTTGCCCAGGATGAGGTAAATGGCGTGAGGGACACCATGAGCTCTTTGGCTTTTTTTTTAAGACAGATATTTGCTTTATCACCCAGGCTGGAGTGCATTAGTGTGATGAAGGCTCACTGCAGCCTCAACCTCCCCTGCTAGAGTGATCCTCCCACCTCAGCCTCCCAAGCAGCTGGGACTACAGGTCACAGGCCACCACAGCCCACTAATTTCTTTTAATTTTTTGTACACTCTGAGTCTCACTATGTTGCCCAGGCTGGCCTCCAACTCCGGGGCTCAAGCGATTCTCCCCCTCAGTCTTCCAAGGGGTTGGGATTACAGGCGTGAGTCAATCGCACCCAGCCACTTCGGCCTCTTGGATCTGCTTTAGGATCTGGCACCCGGGGGCTTCTGTTCCCCAAGGACCACTAACCTTGTCTGAGTCCCCTTTGGAGGAGTCAGGGCGCCCCCCTGGCTAAGGACGCAACACACTCAGAGCCAGATGCTGCGAGAAACTGCTATTGTTATTATCGGCCGGCAGCACTGGCTACGGCCACAATCATAAAAGGGAAATGGACTGAATCCCCGCACCCCCAATCCCTCACCCACTCGGACCCAAGGCTCCCGACTCGGCCTGGCATGTCCCGGCGCTCCTGGGGCCCCTGTAGTCCGCTGGCTCCTCACCGTGGTGTCCCGCAGCCCGAACCTTTCTGCGCTTCTAGGAGCCCACCTTGGGTGGCTGGGAGGCGTCGCGTGGGGCTCACGAGTTCCACGCTGTCATCTCCACCAGCTCCCACCTCCCAGGCGCCTTCCCTCCCGCACTGTCAGGTTCTGCCCTCGCAGCATTTGGCAGATCTGACTCCAGTCCCTGTCGCCCCTCCGCGGGAGCCTCACCCTGGCCCTGGACGAGAAGCAACAGGAGCCCACAGGCCACCGCACTCAGCCGCGCGCGAAGTCGGTGCAGTCGCATGGTCGGCTCGCTGGTCTCGGTTCGCTGCCGGTGGACACGCTGCTGTTCACCCAGAGACTGCCCCGGATTTGGCCTCGCCCAGCCTCGGAGTTTGGACTGGGCAAAGAGTGCGGGGGGTGCGCTGGCTTGGGCCAGGAAAAGGTGGGTCTGGCAGGAGTTCAGGAACCCCACAGATGGAGAAATGGGAAGGAACTTGATCGGGGTGAAGGAACCGCCTGAGCAAAAGCAGGGAGGCCTGAAGGCGCCCTTCATTCTGGAAACTCCTCCTTGCTTTCGGCACTCAGTCTCCTGGGTTCCCCATCAGGTCCCTCATCCCCTTACAGTCCAGGGTCTGAGGGTCTCCGCGGTCCCCTCCCTACTCAGTCATGCCCTTCTTTCGAAACGTACACGTGACCGCGGCACTTCTTAAGGAGCGCCCCACTTTGCCTCGGTGGCTTTCAGTTTCCTCACCTCCCGCGGAGACCACGGCCATGGTCATTTATCCACTTGACAAACATTTCAGGAGCGCCTGCCGGTCCGAGCGATGAGGACACCGCACTCCCGGGCCTATGGTGCAGCAGGGGACCCAGGCGGCTCACCAGGAGGTCCCGAGACACAAGGAGCCCTGTCAGGCCAGGGGCGACCAACCGTCGTGGATACGGGAGCTCTCGGCCAGCCCGACTTCCCGGAGGAGGCGGTGTGGGGACCACCTCCGACCGCCTTTTGTGCCCCCTGACACCTGGCTCTGGCCTCTACGTTTCAGCCCGCTATGGGCTCGCATGACCCAGCGCCACCGGGGTCCCTTCTCAGCGCCTTTGCTCCAGCGACCATCACGTTCCCGGGTCCGCGCAGCCAGCATCGTGGTCACCGTTTCTCTCACACCTCGGGCGGAGAACCCCCAACGCGGCGTGTCCCTCCTGCGACCCCGTCGCCACGCCACGCCCCCTTCCCGTTCTCCGGAAGTGCGCGGGTAGGAGCGGAAGCGCACGCCCGCTAGGGTTGGCGGTGGTGATTCCGCGATGGTAGGCGGCGGCGGGGTCGGCGGCGGCGGCCTCCTGGAGAATGCCAACCCCCTCATCTACCAGCGCTCTGGGGAGCGGCCTGTGACGGCGGGCGAGGAGGACGAGCAGGTTCCCGACAGCATCGATGCACGCGAGATCTTCGATATCCGCCGCTGCTGGGCGCGGGAGGGTTCCGGGGGCTTGCGGTCGGGGGAGCAGTGATGTCCAGCGGCTGGTGGAGCCGCATCCCAGCTGGGCGTTCCTGGCAGAAAGTTCTGAGCGGGCAAGGGCGCAGAGTCCCTTTTCCTTCACTTCCCACATCTGATTCGCTCCATCAATGACCCGGAGCATCCACTGACGCTAGAGGAGTTGAATGTAGTAGAGCAGGTGCGGGTTCAGGTGAGTCACTTCCAAGGGGAGCGAATTGCTCCAGAGAGTCAGAAAGGTTTCTGTGCACCAGGAGCTGGCGTGCTCTCCGCTCACGGACACCGAAGGGTATCTGTGGGAAGGGAGATTGTTCTGCTTATTTTATGGGTGTTGAAGCTGAGGCCCATGGAAGTTGGATGATTTGCCCAAAGCAACAAACTAAGAAGAGGGGCCTTGGGCTGAGAGTGGTTGACTCTTGACATGTTCCCTCCATAACCAGGTTAGCGACCCCGAGAGTACAGTGGCTGTGGCCTTCACGCCAACCATTCCGCACTGCAGCATGGCCACCCTTATTGGCCTGTCCATCAAGGTCAAGCTTCTGCGCTCTCTTCCTCAGCGTTTCAAGGTCAGTTGGAGCTGAGCCTCGGGAGTGGGACCAGGCATTGAGGATCTACTGCTGAGGATGGGGACTGGGAGAGCATGAACATGGAGAGGACATCAGAGTGGGGCCTGGAAGGATCCCAATTAGCAGAGAGGAAACTGGGAGGAAGCTTTTCAAGTCGATATGACAAGAATAAAGATCTGAGCTGGAAAGTGGAGAAAAGTATTGAAGAGTGTGGCAGGAAGGGCAGCAGGGAGCTGCAGATGGGTTTGGACCAGGGATGGGGCACAGGCAGGCCTTTAAATCAGCAGTAGTGGGCAAGTTCTTTGGATAGAATTGGAATAGCTAGGGCCGGGCACGGTGGCTCACGCCTGTAATCCCAGCACTTTGGGAAGCTGAGGTGGGTGGATCACCTGAGGTTAGGAGTTGGAGACCAGCCTGGCCAACATGGTGAAACCTCATCTCTACTAAAACTACAAAAATTAGCGGGGCGTGGTGGCGTGTGCTGTGGTCCCAGCTACACGGGAGACTGAGGCGGGAGAATCAAATTGAACCTGGGAGACAGAGGTTGCAGTGAGCTGAGATCGCGCTACTGCACTCCAGCCTGGGAAAGACTCATTCTTGGAAAAAAAAAAAAGAATTGGAATACCTGTGGATGGGTTTGGGGTGCAATGGAAGGGCCAGAGTCCAAAGGTATGATTAGGAGGAAGGATCAGCTGGAGATGGTGCCTGAGGGTTTGGGGGCTGCAGGGAAAAGCGTGGGTCAGTGGGTGGGTGTTCAGGCCCTGGTTATCTCCCTCCCAGATGGACGTGCACATTACTCCGGGGACCCATGCCTCAGAGCATGCAGGTAAGGGTGGACTGGTGGTGAGGGTATTGGCCCAGGCACCCTAAGCAGTCTGAGGCTTCCCCTTTGCCCAGGAGTCTATCGGCAAGACAGGGAATGGGTAACTTCGTGAGTGAAATTGCCAGAGACTCCTCAGTGTAGGTTATAGCCTAGACCAAAGCTGGCCTGACAACAATCTCCTGTGCTTACCATGTCCTCTTTCCCCAAATCCCTTTCACCAAATATACAGGACCAGAGTGTGTCAGACTTCAGCAGCGTGGGAGGCAGCCAGGGGGAGGGATCCTAAGAAGGCAGGCTAGGTGGGCTCAGGTGGTTGAAGTAGCCTGATCAAGGTGTGGGGTCCTGGGAAGGAGGTGACAGGAGGGCTCTGTTGCTGCAGGGGACATATCCTATACAGAGGTTCAGAGGTAGGGCTGGCTAGCACTCTGGCCAGAGCCTAGCTTTGACTCTGCCTTCCCACACTCTCCTTCCCACCTAGTGAACAAGCAACTTGCAGATAAGGAGCGGGTGGCAGCTGCCTTGGAGAACACCCACCTCCTGGAGGTTGTGAATCAGTGCCTGTCAGCCCGCCCCTGAGCCTGGCCTTTGGCCCCTCAACCTGCATACTGGTGTCCTGGTCCCAGCTCCTGCCAGGGCTCTTACCCTTGTTTTCTTGAATCACTCACAATGAGAAACTAACATTTTGCTTTTTGTAATAAAGTTAATTTATATTCAGTTCCCAGCATGCTTTGGTGTCTTTCATCTTGGTGGAGTCCTTTGGAGTTTGAGGGAGGATGGTGGTGGTAAGTGCCTCTGAAGGGTGGTGTACTTGCAACTTTAAGTAACACAAAATCAAAATGGAGAGAGTAGTGTATGAATGTGCCTGTATGCCCACCACCACCACTAGAGTCAGTAGTTGTTGACATATTACACGCTGGCCTTATTTATGTGTGCATATATAAACATCAGTATATTTGCGAGTAAGCTGCAGAGACTTGACTCTTCACTTTGAAGTACTGCAGCTCCCTCTAGATGAGTAAGCCTGTATAGCCACAATACTTTCATCTGATCAGAAAATGAACAGTTCCTCAACACCAACTAATACCCAGGCATATCTGGATTTCCCTAATGTGTCATTCATAGTTGTTTTTGTTTTGTTTTTGAAACAGGGTCTTACCCTGTTGCCTAGGCCCAGGTGCAGTGGCAAGATTGTAACTCACTGCAGCCTCCAACTCCTGGGTTCAAGCAATCCTCCAGCCTTGGCCTCCCAAGTAGCTTGGATTAATACAGTGGCACAGTTATACCTTTCTGCAGCCTTGACCTCCTGGGCTCAAGCGATCCTCGCACCTCAGCCTCCCGAATAGCTGGGACTGCAGGCATGCACCACTGTGCCTGGCTAATTTTTAATTTTCTTGTAGAGACAGGGTCTCCCTAGGTTGCCCAGGCCGGTCTCTAGCTCCTGGGCTTAAGTGATCCTCCTGCCTCATCCTCCCAAAATGTTGGGATTACAGGTATGAGCCACCCCAACCAGTCCAATTTAAAATTTTTATTTTTTTTATTTTTTGGTAGAGATGAAGCCTTGCTGTGTTGCCCAGCCTGGTCTCAAATTCTTGTCCTCAAGCAATTCTCTCACCTGGTCTGCCAAAGCACTGGGATTACAGGCTTGAGCATCACACCTAGCTGTTTTTCAGTTTTTTTAATTCAAAAAAACATTTTATCAAGAGGTAGTGTATTGCTCTGCCACCGGGGCTGGAGTGCAGTGATGAGATCAGAGCTCACTGTAGCCTCAACCTCCTAAGTCCAAGTGATCCTCCTGCCTCAGTCTCCTGAGTAGCTGGGACTACAGGCATGTGCTACCATGCCAGGCTAATTTTTAAATTTTTTGTAGAGACTGGGTCTGCCTATGTTACCTAAGCTGGTCCCAAACTCCCAGGCTCAAGCCTCACAAAGTGCTGGGATTACAGGTGTGAACCAACACACCTGGCCCTTTGTCTTTCTTCACAGTGATTTTTTGGAAAAGTTCAGAGAAGTCCCAGTTCTGCAGTCTGATTTGTTCCTGATTTGTGTTGCCTGTAACTGGAAGTTGGTCTAAAGGCCTCAATGAGTCCAGGTTTGAGCTTTTTGATGAAAACCCTGCCCAGGAGTGGCATATATCTTTCATAAATCCACTAGTCGTGTGATGCCAGCTTTTCCTGCTGTTAGTGATGCGCCGTCTGGTCCCTGGTAAGGGCGGTGACATCAGACTTCTCTGTTGAAGGGAACCTGAGACACCTTCTTGGTCAGCTCTCCCAAAGGCGTGTGTCACCCGCAGTGTTGAGTAAGAGGGAAGCTCAGCACCATGAAGTGATAGGCTCGGGTCTAAGGCCTCTGTCTCCCCTTGGCCCTGTGCCCAGATTGCATTTGGTCACCTGGACAGACTGTAGGGCTTAGACCTTGGCTTAGCCGGTTAGGATCGCTTTCCCAGGGGGAACATCCTTCCTGCCTTAGTCTCATTCTCTGAGGATAAATGGCAATATTAAGAAGCAGTGCCCAACCCCACTCCATCCCTACTGAGGCTCAGATGTGATTGTGGGCAGAGAAGCCTCAGTAGGGATCTGGCCATTTTGCAGATCTGTTCTTGAGTGCCTGCTGACAGCATTGAGCCTATCCTAAGAGTGGAATTCAGCTGAGGGCTTTACACTTACTATCTAGTCCTCCATCTAGCCCTATGCAGCAATTGCTATCCTCTCTCTCTCTGTTTTTTTTGTTTGTTTGTTTTTTGTTTTTTTCTTTTCTTTTTTGAGACACAGGACCTCGCTATGTTGCCCAAGCTGGAGTATGGTGGCTATCCATAGGTATGATTATAGCACACTACAGCCTTGAATGCCTGGGTTCCAGGGATTCTCTTGCCTCAGCCTCCTGAATACCTGGGACGACAGGCGTGTGTCATCATGCCTAGCTTGCTATTCTTTTTTTATCCCAAATTTTTAGGACAGGAAATGGTTTTCTAGAAGAAATGTAGTTAGACCTCCATTATCCATGGGTTCTATATCCATGGGTACGACCCACTATGGATCCAAAATGTAGTTAGGCCTAGGATGACTGTGTCTGTACTGGACATGTACAAACGTTTGTTCTTGTTTTTATTCCCTAAACAACGCAGTCTAACGACAACTTACATAGCATTTACATTGTATTAGGTATTACAGTAGTAATCCGGAGATGACTTAGAGTATATAGAAGGATGTGCAGAGGTTGCATGCAGATACTATGCCATTTTATGTAAGAGACTTGATCTCAGCCACTGAAGTTGAGTTTAAAAAATAAAGTAAAAAAATACATGTAAAGGAGTTGAGTATTCATGGATTTTGGGATTCATGGGGATCCTGGAACCAATCCCCTGTGGATACCAAGGGACAACTCTGATTTACTTCTCAAGACGTCTAGCCAGGCACCGTGGCTCACATTTGTAATCCCAGCATTTTGGGAGGCTGATGTGAGAGGATCGCCTGAGCCCAGCAGTTTGAGACAAGCCTGGGCAATACAGCAAAATCCTGTCTCAAAAAAAATTTTTTTTTTGTAATTAGTGGGGAATGGTGGTGCACACCTGTGGTTCCAGCTACTCGGGAGGCGGAGGTGGGAGAATCGCTTGAGCCCAGGAAGTTGAGGCTGCAGTGAGCTATGATTGTGCCACTGCACTCCAGCCTGGGTGACAGCAAGACCCTGTCTCAAAAAAAAAAAAAAAAGAAAAAAGAAAAAAGACTTCTGGCTAGGGAGTAAAGGAGGCCCTGAGCAGCTTGATAGGTGCTGTGCAGCTGGCAGGGGGCGCCATTGCCTGCAGAAGGAGCTAAGCCTATCCTGAACTCCAACTCCTATTGTCCCCACTCAGCTCACTTTTAGGAGGGAATGTCCTCGTCACCTAATGACCAAGAGGAGGTGCTGGATCTGGCTACCTAAGATCAGAGTGGTGAAGCCATCAGCCCCTGTTGCCCAGAGCTGCTTCGTCTGTAATAGGGGGATAGTCATGGCAATCACTTGGGACTGCTTTTGGGAGATTTAAATGAGTCTAGGCCTAGCTCTGATGATCTAGGCACTGTATCCCACACAGATGAGGAAGCTGAGGTCTCCAGAGAGGCAGGGTGAACAGCTGGACCTCAGGGAGCCTTCCCAAGCTGAAGGCCTCACACCCTGCGACGTGTGTACCTTCTGCCCGACAGTCCCTGTCTGAGGTGGCCATGGTGTCTGTGTTGAGCTGGGGACGAAGGGAGTCATGGGGGCGGCAGGTGTGGTTGAGTCATTCGGCTGGCTTCCTGGCAGCCAGGCCATCGTGGGTGAGGGACACCAAACTGCTCATGCCACAGCTGATGTATCAGATAGTCCCCTTGTCACTCTTGACTCAGCTGTGCCTGGCCCCCCCTGCAGGGCCACCATCTGTGCATCCTGGGCCAGTGCCCAGGGAACTTTCTGGAACCCCAGATGCTATCTAAGGACATGGGTACAGGGGGTGGTGAAGTTTGAGGTTCCTGAAACCCTCTACCAGGTATGTCTGGCTCTGCTGTTTCTGGCCTGTGACCCCTCAGGCCTTGGTTACCATGTCTACAAAATGGGAACAACAAATCATAGCTGAGTTTGACCCAGGGATTAGATGACATGTATGAACATGCCCAGCCATATCTATTTTTGCTCATCATCCTGCCCCCAGCACAAGGGCCTGGCACACAGTAGGTATTTAGTACAGTTTAGTGGAATGAATGAATGCATTGGGCCTTAGAACACAGCAGAGGCCCCGGGGCCTGAAGGCTGTGGTGTGAGGTGGGGGTGGGGACACTGAAGCCCAGCCCAGTTCCCTCTGCAACATCTTGTCACCTGAGGGAGGGGGAAGAGTGTGGGGTCCTACAGAGAGGAGGCATGGGTATGGGGCTAGGGGAGAGGTATCTGCATTGTTCCTGAGACCTCTGCCCCACTCCTGGACAGACCACTGTCCTGGAGAGAGTGGAGCAGAAACAGGAGAGGGAACACAAATTCACCTAACCTGCCCCATCCAATCAAGGATGATGATGATAAACGTGCTCTTAGTGAGATATTACTGTGTGCCCGACTTGAGCCAACTACTGTTTTGTCTCATAATAACTGTCAGGAAGAGATGATCCCTGTTCTACACAGGAGAAACTGAGGCTCAGCCTAGATAAATGGACACAGGTGAAACAGCTAGCAAGGGGCACAGCTGGGATCTGAAGCCCAGGCCAATCTAGGGGTGGTTCTAGCCTCAATTTATTCCTCCTGAGCAGCCATGCTCAGCCCAGATTGCTGGGAGGACCAGGTGGTGGGAATGGGGGTGTCTCAAGGTCGTGTCCTGGTGTTAATCTCTGGGGCCCCTGGCCATATCTAGCTTGTGGTGAGTGTCTCTGGACTGTTGGAGCAGCCACTGGAATGCCTGGGGCTTGAGTGGCCCTTTGTGGATGCAGTTCCCTTGGCAATGAAGAAACACTGCTGAGGTCAAGAGCTCAGATTGCCAGAGGGGAAACCCAGCCCTGCTTCTTTGCATGGCCCCCTGCTGGGAAGGGCCACAGCTACCCCCCACCCTCACCCTCTGCCAGACACCCAGAGGCTCTTTCCAGTGGCACAGTTGTGGGGTTGGATGGGACACAGGCAGCCCAGCCAGGATTCCTCATGGGAAGTGTGTGCTGGCTCTTTAGACTTGTCTGCTAATGGGAGGCTCTGGCTATAACTTCCTCTTCCCACTGGAGTTCGTTCAGGAAGCCAGA